TTTTTTTTTAGTTCTTCATTGATGCTGTGAATGTTTGTTCTGAAAATACGGAAATATTACTATTTTATTATAGGTTTTTTGAATCCACTAAAAGTGAAGATTTCAGTTTGACAACTGGCCTGTATCGGCAGTACCATCTATGTGTCTCTCAAAAATTCAGTTGTCAGTGTCGAATAAATTTAAATTTTTATACTATCGGAGAAAAACAGTTATATTAGTTTGCTCGTTTCATTTAATACAACAATTTCTATTCTTTAGTAGCATTTACAAAAAAGTTCTTTCAAAAGTTTTATAAAACACTAACTGAAGAACAAGCACTTTATCAGCTTTACAACTATAGTTTTTTATACTTCAGAACATTGCACACTTGTAGGGTTAAGAGGATATCTATCGTACTTTCGAATATAGTTTGCCTTCTTAAAACTCCCAGTTAATCTTTTTAAACTATGCTTGTAATTTCCCGACTATTTTTTTAGGCTTAGCTTCTCATTGGCTTTCACTAAATTATTCCCAAAAAGAAGTGATAAAGACTTCAAAAATAACTGACAAAAAACTATCAGGACGAGATAACCTGTACTTTACTTGTGTATCTAACAGTGATATATCTTGACATTACCACTCTATTTTTACGAATACTTATCAAAAACCTCATAATTCTTCATTTAGTTTATTAAATAAAAAATTTGCGCAAAACATAGGTAAACAAATAGGCAAATAGACAAAAAACTGCAAAAAATTGCAGGTGCTATATAAATATCTGTCATTAAGACAGTAATTTTTGTTAAATCACTTGTGGTTGTTGTTGAAATAAGAAGAAAGATAAGAGGAATAACAAGAATTTGGTAATGGCGGTTTTTTTTTTATGTTCTTATGAGATTCTACTTCTGAACAAATGTCTTCCTCCTTAACTTTCAGTTATCACTTTATTTGCAATAAAAAAAAACGGTTTCTAAGACTTGATATTTGCTTGGTAGATACAGTGAGGCACTTTAAATGTCTATCAGGTCGACGAAAAAACAGAAACAACAGAGTTTTATACGACATGTGGTCAGTATTTGAATAGACCACTGTCCAGTATGAAGATGCTTTTGCAGTAACCGCGAAAAATATCTGTAATAACCGAAAAGTATTGCTTGCAATACACTGGTTTTTGTCAGTTTGTTCAGTGAGAAAGTTTTGATGTTGACAAGATGATTAGCAGTAGAAGCAATCACATTTTTGTCAAACAACGAGAAAAAATTCTGTATTATTTTGTTAAATTACTGACATAACTCCTAAAAAAACGTGTAGTTCAAGGTTTGAGAACCAGACTCTTGAAATATTTATTTCTTTTTCCTCTTCTTTTAAAAATTTTGATGCAATTGCGGTGATGCACAAATGCTGGTGATGTTTACCAATTTTTATTTTTTTTTTTTGAACTTTTATAATTATCAGCTGAAAATTTTTGTAGATGATAAACACAAAAAGCTATAGATGCCGGTATAAAAAATGATAACGACAACAACTTCTTAACCCTTTGCAGTTTTATTTTCTTAAGCAAGTGGTTAACAAAAACAAAAGAATAGCTTAAGTAGTAAATAGCGACAGATACCATATTAGTGTAAAGATACTATTCGATATGTTCACCAAGAGAACTAATGATACACATTTTCTCATTCAAGATGGTCATGATTATTTTCCAAAACTTAGGCATTTTTTTGCTAAGGCAACTGTTTAATCGTTGGCGACAAGAAAAAGTAGCCGAAAAGACAAAGTGGAACTGCCTAGGCCTACAACGATTTCTTCACGAAACAGTTTTGTGGTTTAACCATTGTCATTTTTCGTCTTAGTCTGGAGCGCTCTTTGCACTGCTAAGTAATTAAGAAACTTTGAGATCTTTTCAAAAAAAGTAAAAAAAAAAGAAATGAAATACTTTGTATTTATTTTTTCCAGAAACTATTATTGGCAAAAACCTAAAATAGTTTAGCATATCAGGTGCGTCACCTTCAGTCAGAAAGTCAAATTAATTTCAGTGCAGTTTTTGTGTTCTGACTTCTAAAGAAGAAACTTTTCGATTAGAATCTCTTTTTCATGACAAGTGCTTGTTGAAAAGCAGAATGACTGACTTTTTTCAATTATAAAATTACTTGACGACTTAACAAATTCTCACCAACTTGTTATTAGGTATTAACAATGCTTCTAAAAACACTTTTTAAGCGAAGCATTGACGATACTATTTAAAATCACGGCTATATTACACATTCGCCTTTAATGGGCGTCATCACCTGGCAAAATCAAGCTGTTTTCGAGAGACAGTCAAAAAAACAAGTTCTGTCCAACTGTTTTTTACACGTACTGGTTATATGAAACCTTTCACAGTTTCATTTGACTAGTTTTTTTAAATTAGACGTCAGAAGTGTTTTGTGAGGGTTCAAACGCATAACTCTTCTGAAACGGTTGACAAAAATGACACTGTTAGAAGCCCTGTTCAAGTCTAAAGTGTGTTTTTCTTATTATTCCTGTCAATACATTAAATAATCATGTTCATGATTGACATTTCACTTGTAGTTCTTCCAGTTCAGACACAGTTGTAAAATCTTCCACCATCCTGTTCCTTTATTTGTGCGTGAAACAAAGTGATGATGAAGGATAACAGTTTCAACAAACCAAAATTCATGAATCAAGAACAAACAATTTCTGTTTGGCAATCTCACATCGCTTTTGAATCAGGGAGGAGCGGGAAGAAAGGAAAGTAGGACACAACAGAAAAAAAATCTTTGTTTTCTGTATTGGAAAACTAGACAATGCAGATTGATTCTCCGGTGAGAGACAGAAGATCAGAGAACAGAATGACTAGTTTTCTATATACTATGTTCTTGGTATTCAAACATTTAATTAACCAAAAATAAACTTTATTTTTTATTTAGCCGAGTGCACCAAATATTGTAATTCTTGAGTATTTTTTTTATCAGAGCAGTTACTATTGGGGCGCGTACATAATTTCCAGAGCCTCATGAAAGGTTTAGTTGCGTTACTACAATTACTTTGTCTTTTTCATATGAGAAACCTCTTCTAGGAATTTTTCATTAATATTTAATTCATATAAAATTTCCAACAGTTGAAGCTGCAGTCCAACAGCGAGAAGCTCGATGAACAGAAAAGGCAAAAAGTAACTATAATCGCAACTGGCTCAATTTTTAATGGGATTAGGAAGGGTCGTGGTGGAGAGCGTAGTCGTGGAATAAAAGAAAATTTTTTTCACTGGACAGTTTCTGCCACATTGGGAAGAGTTTTTAGAATAACATTTCAATTTTCTGATAGTAGACTTCAGCGATTAA